GATGCTGCTTGGCCTGCTGTGTTCATCCAGCCCTGCACCTTGTTGTCTCGGATTCTCCAGCATCTGCAGTTCCTACTATCTCTGATTCAATTATAGTGCATACTGAGTGAGTTTGCATTGACAGTGTAAGGAAGTAGGTGGTGGCTGAGATTGTATGAGAGGGTAAGAACATGAGGATTCGGTATGGGGAGTGTGTATGAAGGAGGTGGGGTGTGAGAACTGCAGGTTTCTTTCCGTTTTACTGCTTTCCTTTCAGCACTGTGTCAAAGTCAACACTACATGTCCCACTCTCAGTGGCTCATGATGTTACCTGTCCTTGGAGGACTGACACGTGCGCAATCCACAAAATAGCTTCTCTCTTTGTCTCTTCATCTTTTGTATCAGAATTACATGAACCATTATTTTCTAAATGTGATATGCATCATTTTGTATTCAGAAATTGGTCCCTTGTCAAAGTGAAAATTGCACTGCATTGCATCTAACAATCATGTAGAAAATTACAGCATATCTATTTTTCCTTATATAGGATATGACACAAAGTTAAAAGACGAAACTAATTAGTAAAAGTACACTGTAAGACTCTGATGGTGTGTAACAATGTACATTTACAAATCTTGTCCTGAATAGTACAGGGGTTTAAGCAATCGGAAGTCAAATGCAAAACTGTTTTCAAAGCTTATAAAGCGAGTATGCTTTGTGAATAGTTTTGCATACATTTCCAAAGAGCACAACAAACATATAAGAATAATACAAACATATGGAAAAGAACTCAGTATACATCACACATAATCCTCCAATCCATGGGACCTCACGTTAGTTAGGTTCAATAACAGCATGATGTAACTAACAGGAAATTCTGCAGGTCAGTCAGGACTAGGTCGAACTTAAAAACCAAACTGAACTGTGAATTACTGTTCCAGTAAGATGCATCTTTTCCTTACCTTCATGAAGAGATGATGTGAGCTCGACTTTGAACTGGAGCTGACCGCTGACATGGTCAGTAGGAAGTCTTCTGCACAGGTTATAGTTTACAATCTGGTCACTGCAACAAGAAATAGTGCAATATAACTCACTTTTAAAACATAACATAGTATGGAAACATTAAAGATCTAATTTCTAGTAATTCATAACCATTTTTATTTTATACACAGTAATTTGTTTCCTCGTCGAAATCGAAAGAATACTAACCTCAGTTAACTTGCTTTAACGAATGTGTTACAGCTCAAGGAAGCTAACTATATCGCATTAGTCATTGTCTTAACAGTGATGGATATTCAGATGTTTCATCTTCACCCCATTACTCAGTGGAAATTTATTTTCTTTCAAATTGGCTAATCATGTCCAAACTTGACACAAATGCTAAAAGAAGGAACTTAATTGTTCACCTCCACAGAAGTATGCCTGTACGAACTGACTGATGAAGGATGTGGATGTCTCATTGTTAGTCTTCTCTTAAAAATTATTTGCACTTATGCACACACAATGCAGACACCTTAACTCCAGGTATTTTAGTTTCTTCGCCAATTGGAGTTTAGCTATTGTAAATGAGAAATAAAAGGATAGCACCAAGAAACCTAGGACTCAAGTAGGCCTATTTGTTCTTCGAAGCAACAAATCCATGGCTCATCTGGCTATGGTCTCAACTCCACCATCCTGTCTGCAACCGCCCCCAACCATAACCCAACAACCTAACTAATTTCACCATGCTAAATTCAATGATCCAGCATATTCAACTTTCTGGGAAGTAAATTCCAATAAAAATGGCACTCAGAGAGAAAGAATTTCTGTCTTCAACTATGTTTCCTTGTTCGAGTCTCTCCCACATCTTCCGGGCATCCACCCTATCCAATCCCTTTAGGATTTTACATATTTCAGTGAGTAAATGCCCACCTGTTCAACCTTTCTTCATTAGATAAGACCTTTATCCCAGATTGAGTCTAGTGAATGGATCCCAGTTCTCTGAACTGCTTCTAATATAATTACATGTATTTAGTTTAAATAAGGAGACCAAAACCATAAATGGTACTTCAGATGCAGTCTTACTAAGGCACTATACAGTGCAATAAAACATGCCTACTTCTATATTTCATTTCCCTTGCAATAAACAACATTCTGTGTGTGTCTTCAGAATAACTTGCTTCTCCTGCACACTTACCTTTTGTGACTGATGAAATAGAATTCCAAGATCCTTCTGGAGCACTGGATTCTGCCAATTCCAAATAAATGTTAACCAAAAGAACTGCAGATGCTGTAAGTCTGTGGAAGGGTCAACAGACCCGAAATGTTAATTTTGATTTTTCTTCATAGATGCTGTCAGACCTGCTGAGCTTTCCCAGCAACTTTTGTTTTTGTTCCAAATAAATGTTGTTTTCCATTAAAAACTGAAAGAACTGCGGATGCTGTAAATCAGGAACAAAAACAAAGTTGCTGGAAAAGCTCAGCAGGTCTGGCAGCATCTGTGAAGGTAAAAACAGAGTTTACGTTTCGGGTCCGGTGACCCTTCCTCAGAACTGATTGTGGCTGGGAAAACGTCAGTTAATATGCAGAACATAGGGAGGGGGATGGGGTAGAGAGTAAACGATAGGTTAGAGCCTAAAGAAAGAGAAGACCAGTTGGACAGACAAAGAGTTGATAACGATCAGGCTGCATTTATAACAGCAATTCTAAAAAATGTTGTAATTGGAGAAGGGAACTTTGTTGTTGTTGTTGTTGTTGTTGTTGTTGTTGTTGTTGTTTTCCATTCTTTTGCCAAAGTGGACAAGTTCCCCACGTTATACTCCACCTGTAACATAACTGCCCATTCAATTAATCTATCTACAATCCCTACTTCCTCTTGACAACTTATTTCCCTATCTATCCTAGTGTCGCCCGAAAATTCAACTTCCGCATGTTTGATCCCCTCATCCAAATCATTGATTCTAGATTGTAATTAGTTGGGGATCCACCACTGATCCCGTTGGTTACAGCTTGACAACCAACAAAGACCCATGTTTCAACTCCTTGCTTCCTATTAATTAACCAGTCTTTTATTCAAACTAATATATTAACCCTTACACAAAGCGCCCCTATCTTGTGTAGCGGCAATGGATGAAATATTAAATATTTTATAGACATCCTAGTCACCTTCCTTGTTACTGCCCAAATAAAATAATCAGTTAGTCAGACACCATTTCCCTTCCACTAAGCCATGTTGACGCTAATTGAATATGTATGATTTTCCAGGTATCCTGCTTTACCTCTTTAATAATTCATTTTAGTAATTTTGCTATAACTGCTGCTGGGCTAACTCGTTGTTAGTTTCCTGCTTCTTGCCTTCCTCCTCTCTTGAATGAAGGTATTACAGTAGCTGTTCTCCAGTCCGCTGGGACCCTTCCAAAATGTAAGAAATTTTGGAAAGTCATAACCATTGTATCCCTGCTGTTATTTCCCATTAGATCCTAGGATGCAGGCCATCTGGTCCTACAAACTTATCAACCTTAGGTCTAGGACCCTGACCTGAAACATCAACTTTCCTGCCCCTCTGATGCTGCTTGGCCTGCTCCAGCTCCACACTGTGTTATCTCTGACTCCAGCATCTGCAGTTCCTACTATCTCTTTAGACAGAAATGTGTTTTTAACCAATTTTCTTGTGAATCAGTGTTTGGAGTTATCCCAAGGAGTAAACTTTTATATTTTCATTATAAACTGCATGTGTTAACCAATTCTGCATCATTATGGAATAAGGTTTGTTTTATAATACATTAATAATGTTGTATTTTTAAAGAACTGGTTCATGGAATTTTTACTCTAAATTTAAAGCATACAATAGGTCATATCATAAACTAACAAAACATTTAAATTTATGTGTGACCTGTGGAATAGTAGGCATAGGGAAAAAAAAACAATGCACTCCTCCAGTTTTGGTCATAACCTAAAACTGGAGCTTTCAGGATGATACCCTGTGCAGACAGCATGCAGTTGGAAGTAGGAAAGTAGTATTTGGAGAAGGATAAAGGTAAGACACCAGGGCCAGGAACTTACACTTTTTTACGAAGTACAAGTTTTTTTTCACAGGGATCCTCACTGCAGAGCCCAGTGAAATATAAGATTCTGCTCCAAGTTTATTGTGCATGATTAAACCAAAAGTATATCAAAAAAAAGGCAGTTGGAGCTAAGATTTTTCTACAGATGTAAGATTTATCCCTGAATGATATACAAACTCATTCAAGTAACCAAGTCCAGGCTAATTGAATTGCAAGAAATTTAGAATGAGAGTTAAAATGAAGGAGCTAGGAAAACATACATAATTGATGTTATAAAGCTATTATGAAATTGGAAGAACAGCAAAACAAACCACGTCATAAGTCTGAATTTTGGGTAGCTTAATGGTTAGCACTGCTGCCTCACAGGTCCCAAGGTTTGATTCCAGCCTTGGGAAGCTGTCTATGTGTAGTTTGCACATTCTCCCTGTGTCTATGTGGGTTTCCTCCGGGTGCTCTGGCTTCCTCCCACTGTCGGAAGATTTGCAGGTTAGGTAGATTAGTCATGCTAAATTGTCCATAGTGTCAAAGGATGTGCACGCTAGGCGGGTGAGCCGTGGGAAATACAGGGTTACAGGGTTAGGGTACGGGGATAGGTTTGGGTGGGATGCTCTTCGGAGATTCAGTGTGGACTCGATGGGCTGAATGGCCACACTGTAGGGATTCTATGATTCTAAGTCAGCAAGAATATCATTGCAGAAAATTAAATGGACAAACTTAAACGAGAACAGGAATAGAGAATTAAAACTGAGAAAACTTGAACTTTAAAGTGTAGAAAAAGAAAAACAGCATTTAAGCAAGAGAAACAGACAAAGAAAGAGAGGGCAGAGATTTATAGAAAGAATACCAACTTAACTAAAAAAGAGAGGCCTTTAACTTCAGGAAACGTTCTGGCGAAAAAAGATCTAAGAACAATCCAAGATCCAAAATCTGTGCAAGCCTTCCCAAAATTTTATGCATGGGAAGCTAAGGCACTTTTCATTTATTTTGAAAAGAGGTGGCCAAAAGAAAACTGGAAATATGTTATGCCAAGCAAGTTGACAGACGGAGTTTATGAGGTTTTATGCTTTGTTTTCAGATGATACTTCTTGAGATTATAAAGTGACAAAACAGTGACTTGCAGTATGTATGTATAACCGGAGTCCCTGGCGCTGTGAGGTAACAGTGCTAACCACTGAGCCACCATGCCACCCATTCATAAGACATTCAGTTGTATGCAAATAATGTACCACACATAATATAAATTTGAAAGACAAATTAAAAAATTAAACCAAAAATAAGTGATTAAGTTCGGAACAAGTTCTGTATTCTCACTTATTTTTGGGAGCAGATGTAAGAGGCATTTTTTAGCACACACGTAAATAGGTAGCCCCAATCATATATTTAAGTAAACTGCCACCAGGATGGATCCACATCCCATGCCAGAATAGACAAAAATCATTTGGGATCATTGGCAGGGACCATTACAATCAGGTACAGGGCTATTAAGGAAAGATTGCCTCTGCTAAGGGATCCACAAAATATGGGTGTAAAGATAAGGAAGGCATTAAGAAGTTCAGAAAACTTGTGAAAGCCATACCAGAACTACTGGACAAACAGATGCTTGGCAGTGTCCTATAATGCAATAACCAAATAAGGCCACAGAAGAAGTCAGCAGAAAACTGGAGAAAATAGCTGGGACAAAGACATATACTGAAAGACACAGCAAGTTTGTAGTCATGAGGGACTCCATGCTGAAGAAGCTGAATATGCATGTGTTGTAATTTAAATATCAAAAAGATAGTGAGTCCTCCATCCAGATCTATGCCAGTCTACTTTGGGGAAAGTTTCGAACAGAAGAAACCAAGTACTGCCCCATGAGTCAAAAGTAACCTCAGTGCTTAATTTCCTGTTCCAAAAATAGCAATCAGGCAGAAACAAGTGAAAGTTAAAACAGCCACTGCATTCAGTGCCACTAGTATGAAGCTACAGGCTTTGATATGAATGAGCAATTGCTAGTTTGACTGCGAGAGTGTGTTTCTCCTGGTCATCCGGAATCATGTGAAAGCTGCAATACAGCAGCTTCCCCACATTAAAAGACTCTATGCACAGGTTCTTGCCAAGAGCAAGCAAGTATACACACACACGTATACACACACACACACACACACACACACACACACACACACATATTTACTGTCCCCAAATTAAATGTCCCTATTTGGCACAGTGCTACGTTTAGGTTGCTCTTGCTCAGTGCAGCCCCTGCTCTTATCCACGAAAGCTGCAAGGACTTTAAATCTGTTGGACAATTGCAAGGGCTAAGGTCCTTCAAATGCTACTTTCTGAATCCATGTACTGCCTGTCACACCATCCTGCATTTGCCTTTACTCACTACAAGTCAATCCCAAATTGAATTAACAAAGCAAAATGCATAAGAGCAGTAACAAACTACAAATTACTTGAGTCAACATGGGTGTGATGCTGTCTCGTCTTCAACGCATACTCCAACAAATAACACACCCTGTTGGGAGCCCAAGTTCAGGGAATTTACTTTTACTGATATATTAAAAGGTCAAATGAGGTGTAGTACTTGAAATAGCCACTGGAGGGTGCAATTGTTCCAATGTAAGAGCTTATGCTGTTAACTTTGTGATTTCTCACAAATGTATACCCATTAATTTGATGAAATTCTCCATTTAAATCAACTCTTGATTTCAACATTTCTTTATTCTAGTTTTAGTATATGAATTATAGTTCACCTGCTCAGACTGGCAATTCAAAAGAATGCCCATGATTAGGCTGTACCTCTTATGAATGAATGGCTCTTCTCTCCACAAACCTCTGAAATTGTACGAGGAAATAAATGACGCAAACCTTCTGAGAGCAGCAGTGGGAAATGGTGAACTGTTCACTGCTGTCACGTATCAAGACCAAGAATGTCCCACACAGTATTTACTAGGAAGATATTGAAAAATCTGATGGGGAGAGTTACACTGTCAGAGTCCCTCCAGGAATGTCCCCAACACTGATCATAGCATCCGAGACTTGGGCTCTATGCCCTGTACCTACCCAGAAATTTACCCCAAGACAGTTCCTCTGTTAATCACAGCTTTAATACCTGGATCAACAGTGGTCAACAATGCAGGCTGTGTCAGGTAGGCCTCAAGTTTATTTATAGCTAAATCTGAACAATTAACCCCTGCACCTGCTCATATCCCCCATATATCCCATTCCACCAAAACCCTGTCACCACCCATTATCCATTTTGGCTTGACAAGCACTCTTATAAAAGCTGAAATAAATACAAGAGCAAAATTTTGACTTTGTCAGTGCAATTCAAATAGCCTTCATCCAAACCTTAGTGCCTAATTGATTGCTTCTATTTAATAAAAGAGGTCATTTAACTCTGTTCAATTTTAACACAGATAAAAATAATCAAAAAAGTGTTTACAAAAATTAGGAATTGTTACTGACCAGAAATGCACAACAGTATATTAAAAGTCTTTGAATGGTTAGAAATGTTTAAAAAAAAACTCATGATAATATGGCAAGCATGCTGAACCTTAAAAAGAGTTATTTAAGGTGGCAACATGAAAAGAGGCATGGCCTCACCCCTCCTTCACCTTGCTGGGCCTCCTTGTGAATCCCTGCCACTATTCCTCACTCCAACAACCAAAAGAGGTAAGGCTACATATTTAAATGCATCCAACAGTCACAGAGTCATACGGTCAAACAGCACAGGAACAGACCCTTCAACCCAACATGTCCACACTGACCAAGTTTCCCAAACTAAACTAGTCCCATTTGCATGCATTTGGCACATATCCCTCTAAACTTTTCCTATTCCAATACCTGTCCAAATATCTCTTGAATGTTGTAACTGTACCTGCATCAATCACTTACTCTGGAAGTTCACTCCACATACCGACCACCCTCCGTGTACAGAAGTTGCCCCTCAGGTCCCTTTTAAATCTTTCTCCTCTCACCCTAAAATTATGCCCTTTTAGTTTTGAATTCCCCAACCCTCACTAGAAGTTCTGGGCAAATGTAAATGCACAAATATTGGGGGTAGTGGGAGATGGGTGGCATTGGTCTCACTCAAACAGTCTCACTCATTGCAGACAGTTGGATTTGGGTGGTATAGCAGTAACGTTATTAAACTAGTAAGTTCAATATCTGAACCGATAACCCAGAGAATACGAATATAAGTTCCACTGTAGCAGTTTCAGAGTTGGAATTCAAATTTAAAAGATCTGGAAATGAAAGGTTGATATCTGCAGAAGCTCCAATGAATAAGGATCAACTTCTCAAGTCTCTCCTAATTAACTTGGTGACCCTGGCAATAATCTCACAAATTTACACTACACAATTTCCATTACTTCTATAATTTTCCCACAGTGGAGCCCCAAAAATCTCAGTTCCTCCAGATCATGGTCACCCATGATTATCTCCAGACTGGGTAACCAAGTCATCAGACCCATTGACAAAACATATATGAAAGAGAAGGGAACTAGGACAAAGAGATCCATAAAACAAAACATAAATACAGCTTGTTGTCAAAGGAGAAGTAAATCAATACAATTATTCTCTATGGATTTTTTTCTAATATTTCTCTTCCTTTTCTAGCAGACTGACAGTGAAGCACAATAACCCTCCCACATCTATAAGAAATCAAATTTAGCATTTATAAGTGACAATACAGCACTGACACCACCTATCAAACTTAATATATTACATTTTTCAAGCATTCCATTGAAAAGAGAAAATAATGAGAGAAACATCAAACTGACAGTGAAGCACTTTGTGAAGTTCATTGATGTATTACCCTATTGCATGTCTCTCCAAAAGACGTTGTACCGGTATGGTTAATTTGCCCAGGAAGCGCTTTATGATGGGACGACTCTTAGCAAACTTGTCTTTAACATCAATTTCAAGTACATCTGTGAGAAGGGCTACAAAAGAGTACTTCTGTAAAATAGAAAAATGTGCATCACATTAATTGCACTTAGCGCTCCCAGTGCACTTTGTCAACACCCATTTGCTTCAGGCACAATCTACTCTGTGTTATTGATAGCAGCACATTTTACCTCTCCTTGCCAAATAGGGTTTGTTGTGTTCGCCACTATTGTCGATCGCTTCTCTTGTCCATGATGAGCAAATGTAGGAAAAGTGTTCTTCTTCCCAGGCTGAATGGACATCTTTAGATATGGATCTGGATTGAAAAACATTCCCTTCTTGAGCCCTACGGCTCTGATATCTGTTTGGAAGAATGAGATTACCACGTTACAAACATAGCACAATTTCAATGTTAGATCCTGAAGTGGTCATAAGTCCCCAGATAGTGCTGGACTGGGCAGCAAATGCCAGCCTCTTGTGACAAGTCTAATGGGGAGCAGTAGCAACAGGAATTTATCAGATACACTCTATTTATAAACCCATACAATAGATAACATGCCAAATATTTTTCCAAATTCTAACTGTTCCTCCAAACAATTTTGTTGCTGTTCTCATGTGTGTTGGATGCATCCAGTTATTTCCAACTCATTTCTTTAAAAAAAAACTGCATTGCCAGTGTCCTTTCTTTTCAATTTTCTCTTTGATAATGCCTTGAGAACACTGGAAAGATCCAGATTATTCCAACACCATTACTGTGGGTATTTTTGTTATTTCTCATTCAGGTTCATTTTGTAAAGATCTCTCTGCAAAGTGTCCTTGGCTCAGGATGCAAATTGCAAAATTAGACATGGAGATGTACACACCTGGTTTAAGATGTAAAACATATAGTAATTAAAGTATTATAAGTTATCTTCTGACGCCACACCCTATGAAGTATCAGCTTTAGTGTGTATGTAAATACCAAGCAATATGCATACAGATTTGTCCCACATTGCATCTTGCAATTCTATTTAAGCTCCCTCTCTCAAAATGTTGCTTCCATATGAAATTGGCAAATAATTAGTTAGCTTGGCCTTTGCAATATGGCTTATAAACCTAAGTGGTATATTTCGGTATTAGTTTCAAAGCATCCTCTGTCTTTACTTGACTACTAAGCTTGTTTGAATTTTGATTAGTGCATCTTTTTGTTGCAATTAGGCCTATTGTTTAAATCATTTTTTATTTGCAACTCTTTACTTTAAACAATAGATTTGGTTCAAGGCGTTGATTCACTTCAGCAACCAAATTATTGGGATTTGCTTTCATTGATCTAAAATATGAAGGAGAGAGAACTTGCATTTTTATGCAGCCCCTTTCATTAAATCAGGATGTGTCAAACCAATTATGAACAAAAACAGAAATTGCTAGAGAAACTTGGCTGGTCTGGCACCATCTGTAGAAAGAAAGCAAAGTTAACATTTTGGGTCCAGTGACCCTTCTTCGGAACTGATTATAACTAGAAAAAAGGTTGGTCTATATGCAAAGATGGGGTGGAGGGAGGGGGGAAGGAGTAAACGAGAGGAGGAGATGGAGCCCAGAGACAGAAAAACAGTAGAGCAGACAAGGGAATGGGTAAAGATCAGCCTGGGAAAATGAATAGCTGCTAATGGGGACTGTTAGTGGCTTACAAGAGATTGGTTGTAGTAGCAGCCCAAATGATGATAAGGCCTGGTGTATGGGGGTTGAGGTAAAGACACGGAAAAAGGCGCTCTGGCCCTAAAATTATTGAACTCAATATGGATCCCTGAAGCCTGTAGGGTCCCAAAGCAAAAACATGAGATTTTGTTCTTCCAGCTTGCACTGCGCTTTGCTGGAGCACTGCAGCAAGCCTGAGACAGAGATGTTGGCCAAGGAACAGGGTGGTGCTTTGAAGTAGCGGGCAACCAGAAGTTCAGGGTCATTTCTGTAGACAGAACACAGGCATTCTGTAAAGTGGTCACTTAGTCTGTCCAATTAAGAACCCTTGGAGTACTGTTACTTTTGTAATGTAGGTAACTGTGCAAGATCCCACAAACAGCAATGAGATACTTTCTTTGAGAAAACTCAGCAGTACCCATGCCTTGATCTGCTGCAACTAAGTCTATGAATTGTGGTTCTCCAATAGCCTCTTGCCTCGTGGTTCTCCTTTCATGGATTCTATACTGTCTTCGTTCACAAGTGCATCAGGTATTTGCACCCAGACTCCACTGTCCTCCTTGGGCTGCTGCTGTGCTGAGTCCCTCGTATCCTTAGTTTGTTCCTTACTTAGTGAAAGGCCGTTCATCAGTAATACTGTGAACTCTCTTTTTAAATTAAGATATACGTTGTAATAAATACAGCTCTCGAGTACAGTGTTTCTCTACTGCTCCTCTTTGAGTCTCGATCACATGTTTATCTCTGCTCTGCTGATGTCACAGTAATATCATCATTTACATCATCACCATCATCAATCTATTCACATCCCATGACGCTAAAATAATGATTGTTTATTTTGCTGAATTGAGTTGTTCCATTAGTTGAGGAATAAATATTGGCCAGGACCCAGGGACAATTTCCTGCACTTCTTCAAATAGTGCCTTTTATATCTACCAAAGCAAAGGAGGAAGATCAGTTAAAGGGATACAGGAAAGACTGGAGCGATTATACTTGGGGCATTATGGCACATTCATCCCTTACTTCAGGACCTGCTTTTACAGACCCATATAAATCTCCCTTGATATTGTGGAGAAAAACAGTCTTCATCGCCAATTTACAAGAGAAACTCTTACAACACCATCTTCCTGAGACAAACTTGTAGACAACTTCTACCTCAGGGATTACTCTTCTCAATGAATACGAAAATCAAAATTGCCAAACACACCCATGTTGGGGTGATTATTCATGATGCAGTTTGGCTGCCACGCATACACAGACTTGCACAGTGATGTTACCGTGCTGTGACAGGACAGGCTGCATTGCACACTGCAGCCAGCTGTTCAAAAGGTTCATGTTCCAGATCTGAAAACATCACCTGCACTGGATGCACTCCTCATCTAAGTTATCAACTCATGTTCAATAACTGCAAACACTTTTAAAATGTGTACAGCTACATTTGTACTTGCAAATTTCTGTGATAGATATTCAGCATGTCTCAGGACATTTCCTTGTGCTAGGCCATTCATGGTGCTAACATACTCTTCCTCCAGAAAGCAAAGCAAAATTGTAGAACTCTGACTTCCTACCCCACCATCAAATAGTGCTTGCAAGAAACAATGTATTCTGTTTGTCAGGTTGTGAGAAGCTCTGTTTGTAATTGGAAAATAAGAACAGTTGATAACAGTTGACAAAAAGACAACTGCTTCACATTTCCTTGCCCCCCTCCATTCTGTGATGTCAGGTAATCCAGTGTGGACTCTTCCAAAAGAGTGAGGCCCTGGAATTTCAGTGTCTGAACCCAGTTGGTCCCTTAAGTTTTGATTCTGCCTTTTACTGCAAGCAGAGTTTGCAAGTTTGGAATTTTACAATTACCTATTTCATACACATGCCTAGGTCCTGTTTTGTATGGATTGCTCCCAGCACAGCCAATCCATTTTCAACCATTTATACTTCTCTTTGGCATCCTATCTGGCATTTATCTCTATCTTGGCTTATCTTCAGCTATCTCCTTGCTTGCCTATCCCTCTCTCTCTGTGGACCCCATCTCCATGCACTTTATTCACTCTCCCCACCCTGTCATCAGCATAAGATAATACCCTTTCCAAGTTATTTTCTGCTCCAACAAAAGATCACTGGAGTCATACAATCATCAGAAAATCCCTACAGTGTGGAAACAGGCCACCTGGCCAAACAAGTCTATACCAACTCTCACTCAGCTACCCTATCACTGCATCTCCCACGGCTAATCCATCTAACCTACACATATGGGCAATTTAGCATGGCCAATCTGTCTAACTTGCACATCTTTGGGCTGTGGGCAGAAACCAGAGCACCCGCAGGAAACCCACACAGACACGGGGAGAATGTGCAAATTCCACACATTCACCCAAGGCTGGAATTGAACCCGGATCCCTGGCGCTGTGAGGTAGCAGTACTAACCACTAAGCCACCATGCCACTCACCAAAATGTCAACTCTGTTTTTCTCTCTATAGATGCTGACAAATCTGCTGAGTTTCTCCAGTACTTTCAGCTTTTATTATTGTGTTAAATTTCTTGAATGTCATTAGAGTTGCACTCATCCAAATGGCAAATATTCCAAGACACTCCTGGCTTGTGCCTTGTAGGTGATGTACAAGATTTTGGTGATTCAAGAGGTAAGTAACTCACCTCTAGACCATGACCTGCTCCTGTAGCCACAGTATTTATATGGCTGGTCCATTTCAATTTCTGGTCAATGCTAACCCAAGACATTGATAGTAGAGGATTTAATGATGTTAATGCCATTAAATGTTAAAGGGAGGCAGTTAGATTCTGGCTTGTTGGAAATGATCACATGTACATGTTCCTTGTCATTTATCGGCCCATGCCTTTATGTTGTCCAGGCCTTGCTGCATTAAAGTGTTTCTCACAAATCCATGATGTGTAAACACAATAATAAAGTATTAAAACAGCAGTTAGAAAAATCAATTGAAAATGTTTAAAATACACAATGATAACATGCAAATGATCTTTATTATCAAACAGTCTGTTGAATTTGGAATGAAGGTGCATCTTACCCAATAATATGAACTTGACAAGTTTTCGACTGACCTGACCATCAGATCCACCTTCCCCCAGTTCACTTCCTCCAGCCTGTAAAATAAATATATCATTATCTCTTGGCCTATATAAAAGAGAGTTATTAATATATCCATTATTGTCAGTCACTGCATTTTAGAATTTTTTCAAACTATGAGCTGAGTATATGAATAATATACTTTAATATCTGGAAACAATTTTGGTATCATAAAACTCTGCAAGGTATCAAATTGCGATAGAAATATATTGCTATTTACTCTCATTTTATTCAGATTTACTCAGAATATCTATTCATTCTGAATCTCAAATCTCTGCAAATTCAGATCTAGCCACTTAGGTTAGTAGGGATGACTACATCAATATCATTGAAACCCTACAGTGTAGAAGTAGGCCATTCTGTCCATTAAGCCCACAATGACACTCTGAATCCCATCCAGACCTACCCTCTACCCAATCCCTGTAACCCTGCATTCCCCATGGCTAATCCACCTAATCTGCACATCCCTGGACTGTGGGAGGAAACTGGAGCACCGGAGGAAATCCATGCAGGCATGAGGATAACGTGCGAACCCCAATCAGACAGTCACCTGAGAGTGGAATCAAACCTGGGTCCCTGATGCTGTGAGGCAGCAATGCTAGCCACTGAGCCACCGTGCCTCCTATGGAAGGTGTTTTTACTAAATTCCTACAGAAAATGCACTTGTGAACACTTGTTTGATCTCTTTAAACAGAGAATAATAACCAAGGTATAATATTGCAAACTTTCCCGAGAGAAAGCAGTACAGAATTACTGAACTCTGAGAAAAGCATGACATTGTGCAGGTTACTCAATGCATAATTGATGATCAGAATTCTGAACAACTGTCTCTGTTTGATGCTTTATTTATCTGAAGCTTTGTAGTTTCCTAATGACAATCTAATACAATTATAAGTGTTTACTTCAGCATATTTCTGACATAAAACTTCCAGAAATTTCTACACTCATAACTAAAAATTGGAATTTTCACTTTATTCAGCTGGATAGGGAGGTATAAACCGACTTCATAATTAATACTCGCTAAAAAACAAAGTGTTGCTTTGTCTAAAGACAAAAACAGAGTTTTGTTGGGTAGGTGAGAGAAACTGAACGTACTATTTCCTTATTGAAGCATATCACCAGTGTTCAGTAATTTCTTATGTTCTGTGTTTTTGAACATATGGGGATCATTTATAATTTATAAATTAAAATCTACACCTGTCAATGGAGAATGTGATTTGTACTTGACTAACTGGCTTGACACAAAAATAGATGGAAAGACAAGTTGTGAGAAGGATACAAACAGTTTACGGAGAGTTATTGATATACTAAGTAAGTTGGCAAATGGAGTATAATATGGGAAAACATGAAGTTGTTAATTTTGGAAGGGAGAGCAAAAGGTCAAAATATTAGTTAAATGGAGAAAAACTGCAAAAAGCTGCAACACAAAGGGACTTGTGGTGGGGGGGAGGGGGTTCCTGTACACATAATACAGAAAGATACCATACAAATGCAGTAAGTGATTGGGAAGGCTGAATGGAATGTTGGCCGTTATTTCAAGGGAGTCAGAGTATAAGAGTGGGGAAGTCTTAGTGCAACTGTACAAGATGCTGAGACCACATCTGGAGTACTGTGAGCAATGTTGGTCTCCTTGTTTACGGAAGAAGTTATTTTAATGGAGGCAGTTCACAGAAGGTTCACTAGGATGATACCCAGTATGGAGGAATTGGCTTATGGCTAAATGCTAAACAGATTGGGAGTTTGGAAGAATGAGAGGTGACCTCATTGAAATATAGGATTCTTAAGGACACCAAGCAGAGAAAAGTCACCTGCATAAATAGAATGGAAGGAAATTATAAGGAATAATAGCTATTCCAATCACAAGCTGTTTCTATTCTATGCTTGCTGCATTAACATGCTTGTTTGGCATTAGAAAATGAAAGATATGCAACACTAAAGTACATTTAAAATTTACAAAACTTGTTTGCAAGAGAAATAAATAATTGCATTAGTTTTTCATTTACATCTCATGAAAATTTGAATGACATAATCTGAACATGCTCGAGAAAGTCTATGAAAAGGAAATTCCATGTTTAATATTTCAAAGGTCTTATCCTGTGTCACTGGGATGCAATGAAATCACACCCAGTAACCATGGTGCCAGCACTGCTCAGTACTAAAAGGTTATGTTCATTCTTCCTGTTTATAACATTACTTAATATTCACCTTTTCCAAGTCATTATCAAAATATTCCACAGCCTTCAGTTTATGACAATTCTATTGAATTCTCTTGACTCTTATTGCTTTGGATAAACAACAGAATTAAAGGGATATATTATTTTCTGTATGAGGTTTCAGGGTGATGGTTTGTGGGGTTGGAGGCAGCAAAGACAGGGAAAAGATTCCTTTCCTAAGCCTCTGTGACCCTGGTATGAGCTCGGAAAAGCTCGGCATGAGCCCCCTACATTGTCACTGTTCAATGTATGAATCAGAATAGCATCAGACATCAGACTCTTTCCCTCTACAATCAAACAACCTGACAACGCTTAGTTCTGGACAGCCTGAAGGATTTCCAAAACATAGGCAACACTCAGATTTGGAAGTCACATTCCCATTTCTGACCGAGCCCATTTTTGCTGCCACGGAAAAGGGGGCGGGTGTGATTCACACACTTGGCAACCCTGAACTCAGTGGAACCACTTGAACCCAGTGCTGAGTTCGAACAGATCCAATTTTAGCCCCTGTGTAGGTCTTAAACTGCATTGCGGGAGTCACAAAGGTATGAAGTAGATATAAAGGTTCTTGAAGGAAAATAAGGTCTGTATAGCTATCCTGATGTAAAGTCATTTAAATCCCCAGCCCTTGGAAAATGAGAATATACCACACTCCTGGTGTCAGTGTTCTGGCAGTTTTGATAGCTGTTGTTGAATTTTTCACTCATAGCACTTTCGGAATACTTGGCTGATTTTAAAATCTACAATGATATCAACAGGGAATTCTGAATTCACAGCTGGATTGGCAGTTTAAAGAGACTATAAAGCTGTGGAATATGAATATAAGCTTATTTGTTTTTAATAGGAGATTAACCGCTAAGCTTTAAAAAATTATTTGTAATGGGTTTTTGCAATGGGAAGTGTTTTTCTTTTCCATGTCTGTAAAGTGAAATCTGTACTGGAATTTTTGAAATATATTTTGCTTCATCTCCACATTACTTCTGAGGTCTGCCCAGGGTGAATACTATGCAATTTATCATGGGGATATGAAGGACCATGGTGGTGAATTAGGGTTGTGGATTAGAAAGCCTAAAAACATATAACACAACTGGAACAAATCCCACAGAAGTAAAGCAGGCCTTCTAACCATCACACCCCAGCACTTGGCCATCTCTATGGCTGTCTATGCTCTGCATCCAGTGTTGGCAGGCCCGATTCAATGCCATACATCTGTCACAGAGAAAAGATCACAGCATTCAGAGACTCTTGTTCCAAAGTCGGTGAGGTAAGCATGGAAATGCCCTGACTAAAGTGGTAAAAATCCAGTCCACCGAATTCAAAAAGCAAAGGAGTTTTGGAGAACCATTATAAAATATTGTTTATGCCTCAGATGGAATATTGCACCCCATTCTGGGCAGGTCACTTTAGGAAGGAAGGATATTATCTCTTTAGAGACGGCGCAGAAAGGAGTTAGGAGAATGCTTCCATTGATGACAGACCTCAGTTGTATGGACAGATTGGAGAAACAGAGGTTGTTCTCAGACAAGAAAAGATTCGGAGGTGTTTTGATAGAGGCTTTCAAAGTCATCAGGGCTCTGCACAGAATAGACTGAAAGAAACTATTTCCATTGGTCGAAGGGTGATGAACAACTGATACCACTGAATTTAAGGTCATTTGCAAAGGCATCAAAGACAACATATGAAAATAATTATTATTAAATAGCAAATGGTTCGTATCTGGAATGCATTCTTTAAAATCTGGTGAAGGCAGATTCTATAAAAGCTTTAGAATGGAACTTAATAATTATCTCAAGAGAAAAGATTTATAAACAAAGCATTATAATTGGGGTTTAAAAGCATTATAAACAAAGGCTGACAGAGTGAAATCTCTCTTGTTGAAAATAAATGCCCCCCCCCTTTCAGTGTTGTAATCAATATATAAATTTATTTTTTGATTTTTTTTCTCATGTTTTATTTCATTTTGCTACTGCCTGCTGCCCCAATCTTGATATCTGATATGGACCTTACATTTCACATCACAGTGCAAAAAGATCCAAGTTCATTTCCCATTACAAATATCCAAACATCTGTGTTTTCTAGAGCGAGAGAAGGATATAGATTAGGTACCGCACACTATGTACAGCATCCAATTTCAGCATCCACACTGCTGAATATACAGACTAAGGTAATTCCAGCTGCAACTGAGCCAAACCCAATGCTCACTGAGACTATGATTAACAATCAAAATGACAAGTCTTAGGAAGAGAAAGTAAATACACTGTTCATAGTGACCTTCAAAGTAAATGCATTCCCTTTCATAGGAACCTCTTCTGTTATTGCTATACCAACACCAGTAACCTTATAGTACCTTTAATGTAATAATATGTCCTGAAGTACTTCACAGAAGGAGGAGATTAGACAGAAGAAAGAAAACACCAAGGAAGAATCTGAAAACACAAATGAGAATTTTAAAATCAAGATCTCAGGGACGACTGGGGGTAGGTTGCAGCGAGAGTTAGATATAGGTAGCAGGGTTTTGGATGACCAGAAGATGGAATGTGGAAGACCTGCCAGTAATTCACTGGAATAGTCAAGTTTAGGGGTAATCAAGACATGAATGAGGGTCGCAGCAGCAGATGAGGTGAGGCAGAAGTGAACTCAGACAATTTTAATGATGGTGGAAATAGGACATTGCAAGCTCCATTGGGAGACAAATGTGACACCATCATTGTAAGCAGACGACCAAATCTTCGACTATTTCCAGGGAGAGGTTGGAGTCAGTTGCCAAGGAACTAAGATTGCAACGGGACTGAGAACAACAATATTTAATTGGACAAAATTTCTGCTCCTCCAGCACTGGATGTCAGATAAACAATCTGATGATTAAAAACGCTGAAGAAGTTAAGAAAGTTATAGTGAAGTAGAGCTGGGTGTCATCAATAGCCATGTTGTAAAGATTATATTTTTTTGCTTGCCAACAGCTAAATGATTGGCTCCTGAGTAGCTAACCAGCTTGTGGGTGTAAATAATATTACCAGAATCCATTAGACCTTGAGAAGAAGTCGTGATATATCTTAGCAGTAGAAAGTACTTGAGGCCTGAGGCAAGCAATTTATTTTCCTTGACCCGTTACTGTAAGTTGTCGCTTTTAACCAATAAATTAGAGATCTTATCATTTGAGACCCAGTTGTTTTGTGCCTCTTGCAAGAAAGTGAAAAGTGTCTGAAGAAGAGAGACATTGAAGAATAAGAAGTCATTACAAGCACAAGGATCATCTCAGTGAACCCTATGGATAATGAGAATTGAATCGGTTTCCCTCCACCTATAACAGGCAATGTTTGTGTGTGTGTGTGTTTGTTTGCGCGTGTGAAGAGGTCAGCCAGGTGGACATCAAAAAAAATGAGTTCCCTGATTGGTGTTGTCAACCTAGTCCAATCAGGAAACCCTGGTTGACAGATATAAACAGGAGTGTCAGACATCCTGTTCACTCTGAGAGCTGGCGCTGAGGGAGCTGGATCAGTGTCAAAGACTCTCCATGTGTAAATAAAGGGTGACTTGGTGACTTGATACCAGCATCTGTGGAGTTATTTCATGTGGGGAGTGTTAGAGTTTTAACTATGAGAGTTATATGCCAACACTTTATAATTTAATATGCTTGCCTGTAGCTACAGTCTATCGATTTGTAAGGAATAGTAATTCTTGTTAAGTACAGATACCTGTTCTATGTTTTCTGTCAACCTGGCTCTATAAAGACAGATAAATTGAAGACTTTTGTGTACTTTGATAAAGTGTTTTGTGACGACTCTAAGAATAGAAGGACTTGATTTCCAGTATACTACCCCAGTCAGAAGTGACAACGTGAAAATGAACTGTGTGCTTTCTGAACTGGATCATGTCATTGAGTGCCAGCATATGGTGGAGAAATGGGAGAGGGTAAAGATTAGATTCTGGGGGGACATCAGAGGGAACAGTGCAGGAGAGGGTGGGGAAGCAGTGGCAGGTTAGTGGTTACAATTAAGTAAATAGAAATGGAACCAGCTAACCATGACCCCAGCCAGCTGAATAACAATGTTAAGAGCATTGGAGGAGGATGGTGTGGTCAAATGGTCAAGGAGGCTGAGGATGAGACGTTTACCATTGCCACAGTCACATCAGATATAGTTTGTGATTTTGATAAGAGCCAATTCATACCGCAGGTATGGAAACCGGATTGGAGGAATTCAAAAATGGAGTTCTACTATAGATGAGAATGAATGTTGGAAGTGGCAACATTTTCAAGAGACAGACATGTCTGATTTTCTGTTGAAGTATTTCATCGAGTGAGATTCACAGTGCATGTGAAGTCAAGGCTTGGAGCAACTTTCCTCACACAATCTTCTGCTCTTTATTTTGTTAATTATGCAACAGAATTCTTGGGCTTCTTTCTCAGGAAATCGCATGGTTGGAGAGGCTGCTGGGATCTTCTGGCTTTCATGCCTGAGCTGCTGTATTTAAAGCCCAGCTACAAAGTACATCAGATGCTGCCAGTGAGGAACTTCCCACGACACTGCGATGTTTGAGCCTCAACATTCAGCAAATGAGTCGGATGAAAGGGCGGCTTGCTTCCCATGTTGCTGACAGGGACCTGGGGCCTGCTGGTGGATGCAGTGGGTGAGAGGAGGGCAGTACTCTCTGCAGTCAATGCCAGTATGGACACAGGTCGCAGCCTGGGTCAGTGCTTTGTCCCAGGTGAAAACAAACACTAGCTGCGCAGGAAGGTGGTTAATAATCTTCTGCACTTGGCAAAGATAGCTGCCGTTATCTCCTCTCTGCTACCCCACATGCACGTGGCCACGACTCACTAACTCTGTCACTGCACACGCCTCTCACCAAAGCCCATAAACTACAACTCTGACTATTGCATGTATCATATCTTCCCAAAGGCTTTCACTCATCTCATCCTCCTCCTGCCCTCCTGCCATCTGTGCATCCTACTCATTCACTTCACACAACTCACCCACCTCTCCTGTTCATGTATCACCACTAACTGCTCTTGCATTCTCTTCTGTCGTCGCTGAATCCTTCCCTTTGTCTCATTGGCAGAAATCCTGGCCCACCCCATGGACTGATGCCTCAACAGCACCCTAACTGACCTACCTGTAACCCCTACACTGCTTACACTTGACCTGCAGGACTGACTGTGGCTCAAGCTCAAGACTGCAAGGACATAATTCCTGGCCTACGATAGGGACCAAGTGCCTAATTGACCATGCTGACCTCCTGGATTGGAATAAGATGAGACCATTGACTGACTCTGGTAGTGCCTCTGATTGACTGCAGTCCCCCATTAACCCATTAGGGACTTCTGCCCTTTGACTGTCACATGACCCCATTTGTACGAAGCATGTGCAGTGTGTTTGCTTTATAAATTGTTGGCACATGCTGCAGGCATGACATTGACAGCATGGAGCGACATAGTGATATGTTTACCCCCTATCTGACTGACAGATTCACTGTTCAGTGCTCCCCACTGTCACAAGCTGCCTACCTCCCCATCCCTGCTCAAAGATTATGCAAGATTGAGAGGCTGGCAGCCCTGAACTGAGCACTAAAGACACTGCACTAGGAAAGCAATGTGCTCCACAGAGACTGGAAGCCCATATGTCAGTGCTGACGTCAGAGCGAATGCTAAGAAATCATTGTGAAGTACACAGAGGCTAGCAGCCCAAAAAATGCAGTAAGGTGAGTGAGCACTGAAAGCAAGATAAGAGTCAAAAGATGCATCCTGTCCGGATGTATTAGATATGTGTGTGTTTTCCTGCGTGCAAAATGACCTGGCAGAAGCATGCAAGTCATTGGCTTCCTGAGCTGTAAAGTGTCATTAAGGCATGAGTGGTGTCTGAGTTGGTCTGGTAGCAGGCATAATGATGTGGTGAGGCTGGTGGCTTGCTGCAGCATGGTCGAACGGTAAATGAGGATGGTGTCCATGGAGCATGCAGGGATCTTGTTCTGATTAAGCCGTTGGATGGTGACCAGGAGATTTAGCAAGCTGCAGTTGTCAGTAGCCCCTCTGACTTACACATCAGGATTCACACTGTCTATTCTCTTGGTGAAGGAGACAATAATTGGAAGTGGCACTTAAAAAAGGCAAGTTGGGGTTTTAATTAAATGCAAATGCATGAAAATAAGGTGGTTGGGTAGCTCAATGGTTAGATTCTGTTGTTGTAACTTATGGCTCAAGACGATAATTGAGAAAACTTTTCTTGATGTCAAGAATCAGATTTTACATTCTCACCGTATTTTCCCACTTTTCTCACCTATGCAAAACAAGGGGGGAGAAAACTCCATAAAATAACTTCGGAGATGAAAGGAGGGTGGAGTTGAGATGGTAGTTTACAAGAGCTGTGAGGTTATGAGTTGATTGTGAGAAAATCTGTGATGAAGGCAGATTTAAAGCAGGCAGGGACAGCACCTGAAGAACGCAAATCATTTACAATGTTTGTTAACATGGAGGCCAAGAAAGGAATTTTGCGTGATAAAAAAAGAAAAATGAAAATTATAATAGACAGGCTCACATTTATATAACAAGGTGTGGAGCTGGATGAACACAGCAGGCCAGGCAGCATCAGAGGAGCAGGAACGCTGACGTTTCGGGTCTGGACCCTTCTTCAGAAATGGGGGAGGGGAAGGGGGCTCTGAGATAAATAGAGAGAGGGGGAGGTGATGATAGAAGGTGGATAGAGAAGCAGATAGGTAGAGAGAAGATGGACAGGTCAAGGAGGCGGGGATGAAGCCAGTACAGGTGAGTGTAGGTAGGGAGTTTGGATGGGGGTTGGTCAGTGAGGAGGGAGGGAGGGGTAGGTGGGAGGGAAGACGGACAGGTCAAGGAGGCGGAATGAGGCTAGTGGGGGTGGGGGTTGGTCAGTGAGATGGGAGGAGCGGATAGGTGGGAGAAAAGACGGACAGGTCAAGGAGAGGGGCACAAGAGGGGCTGGTCTTGGGATGAGGTCGGGCGTGGGGAGATTTTGAAGCTTGTAAAGTTACATGCAGACAATTTTACACACCAGGGTGGGGGGGAATTCTACCCAGAGACATTCAAAATGCCAGAATTGTAGGAACATTGAAATCTTGAGGGCCTGGGAGTTATCACAGAGATAGGTAGGAGCAAGGTAATAGGGAGATTTGAAAGCAAAGATAAGGATTTTAAAATTATGTGCTGTCAAAACAGGAGCCATCAATGGTCATCAAGTACAGGGTGATGGGTGAATGGGAAGTACAGCAAGTTAGAATTTAGACACCAAAGCTTTGGAAGATGGAAATTAACTGAGTTTTTGGATGCTGTCGTCAAGGGGTAAATTGCCAGCTAACTTGCATACTAATAACAGCATGCACCCTCCAAACTCTCCAACTTCCTATACGCTCTTAATCGCACTCTCATGTTCTTTTCCCACACATTCACAGCAATCCTTTTGATTCTGAACAGAAGTTTCAAAGAAATGTTGTATTCAAATCAGCATGATACTTGTTTCTTTCCCCAGAGATGCTGGCAGACCCACTGAGCATTTCCAGCACTGGCTGCTTATATTTTAGATTTCCAGCACCTGCAGTATTGTGCTTTTATTTCAGCATTCAGTAAACATTCTACTTACCATAGCACCTGGATTTTTTACTGTAATACATGGGGTGGTGGCTCGTAGTGCTCCACTTACACCGTGATAGTATTTAAAGCAGATCTTAGTTTCAGCTGAGGAACAAAGAGAGAAAATGTGGACAAATTTTACAAATGACGACAGAAAAATATTAATGAAAGAAAGCTTGTAGAATCGGTTTTCAAGTTTTGGTAATAACGTTCGACATACATTTCTGTCAGCTGGGTGCCATTCACCACCCTAATGTCATGGTCAACTATTGTGGACTCATGTGACATTAATGAGATTATCAATCTAATATTTCAAAGATACTTTCTACTACTTGTCTCAGACTTCAATCACCAGAAGCACATGACAGAATTCAGGTGTAAATGGTGCACTGTTTATCCAATGATAAATTTAAATGAATTTTAACTTCATTTGCAGTTTCCCAATGCATCCCCCCAGCACTATTCCAACTGGTGGGACAAAATTAGAACATTTCCCTGACAAACAATGTAACCAGCGGGCCATTTTTGTGCTATATGATTCTATGAAGCAGCAACAGTGGCAGAATTATACTTTTTCAAACAAATGTACATAAAAATGCTTACATTTGTATCAATAATGTAAATAAGCAAAGCATTCTGAAAAATGGTCTCAAAATGAATATGAATTAATCCTTTCTACTTTCAGATGTTGTCAGACCTGCTGTGTACTTTCAACATTCTCAGTTTATCTTTTCATCATCAAATTTCCTATATATTTCCAGATTCTCCTTTACAAAGTTTAATGATGATTTTGCAGGTGTATCAAATGCAAAATGTCACCTCATAATTTATTCATGCAGTCAGATTTTGTGAAGACTTAACCAAAATTCTTACACTGCATGGAAGAAGAGATGCTTTATATCACCTGAAAGCAGAGCACTCTCTTACATTAACTAAGTGGCATAAAGGGACAGGTTCTGTTAGAGACAAATCAAAATTGCTTTTGGAAGATATACTGTGCACTAAGACAGTTAGTCGCTGATTGTTCATGCAAATATATGCAAAAGCAGACTGGTAAACAATGTGTTCTAAACATTTATTCAGCAAATGAAATTTAGATCAATGCCAGTGTGGTGAATACTCAGTGTTAGATCCCTTCCTCAGACAATACATATACATCTGAATTGTACATGCTCTGTACTTCACCTTTTTGTTTGTTTAGCGGTGACAGTTTGGATGTCCACAAAATCAGAGTGCAGAACTTTCTAACCCATTATTGTTCTTCATCGTTTCTGAAGGAGAGTCATACTCGAAACATTAACTCTGTTGCTCTCTCCACAGATGCTGCCAGAACTGCTGAATCTCTCCAGTATTCTCTGTGTTTGTTTCAGATTTCCAGCATCTGCAGTATTTTGCTTTTATATAATTCATTACTGTCATCACTCCATAAACTGCCATTTTGATTTGGGTTTCGAATGTGGAATGAAATTATATCATATCTTGCATATTGAAGTCAGATAATGTCAATTGGATGTGGATGCAATTTTCAATTACCAATAGTTGAAGTGGTACCTGCTGGGGAGTGAACTATCTAGTGATTCTTAAAGCAAACCACAACACGGGTCAGGGAGATCAAAGCATTCTGTGGGACCAAGAAGAACAATGATCAACCTATTGCTGACCATCCGCGGACGTCCCTACAAAACACTTCTTTCACCCATCACCCAACCCCATAACCCATCAGTAAATGAACATATCTGACTCAGCTGCTCACAGAATTTTCAACATTCCTTAACTGGCCTGTCATAACTCTTCTCCTTCAACTGCATCCTCCAAAACACAAACTTTCCAACCTAAAAGCATTTTGAAGCATAGAATATCAAATGTCAGAGTCTTAGAGCTAGAAGTTTACAGTAAATCAGTTGCATGGAGGCGGCCACACAGTGGGGAGTCAATCATGGCCATCCCAGGGAATTAGGCAGTGTCCGTGAAAGAGAGAAAATGAATCAGAGAGGGACTCGGCCATTGACACTTAGGTACCAACAGCATAGGTTGCAAGCAGACTGATTACAAAGGCAGCACAAAAGGTCATCATTCTATCATTCCACTTGCATGGGAATAAGAGTCGAAGGTAAACTTCCAAACACAGTTGGGACTCCAACTCAGTGCAAGGAAAGCAGCAGCTGGTACCTGGAAGCACAATGCTCAGTTTTCAGGAAATAATACCTGGTCTGCCTCAGAACCAAAACGTAGCTCTTATGCCCTCCCAAAAACTGAACATGGCTTCCAGCACACTCTCAACAAGCTCTTTAACGATCTCAAACTTCATTATTAAATGGCTAAGCGGTTCTGTGGCTGTACATCCCTAAGGCCCAACCTCACTTCTGCTGAAAGAAAACCTGTATACAAATGTCTTCATCCATTCCCACTGTCACAGGGACCTAAAAATCCAGCCTAAGATTTCAACATTTGATACTCTGTACTTTAATTAATGTAATTGGGACAAAGCTGAAAGCTGCTTTTGCCCTAGTTCAGTACAAAAATAGGATACAAATATAAACTCAATCACTCATATCGAGCTCAACCATGCTTGTAAGGGAAGGTCTTGAGTAGAGTGTTACATGATCCACTCAGCCTGGTTAGGAGACTGCCTAGCAACAGCCTCAGAGTAATACAAGCATAAATACGTTAATACATTCTTTCAGCCACAGGATATTTATATCCACTAGTGAACCCCAGAATGTTGACAGTGAGGAATTCAGCAGTGGTAATGCCACTGAATGTAAATTGGATATGATTAGATTCTCTTTTGTTAGAAATGATCATTGCTTGACATTTCTGTTCTGCAAATATTACATTGCCACTTATCAGCGCAAGTCTGAGTGTCGATCAGGACTGGCTACAGACAAACAAGGATTTCTTCAGTATGCAAGGAGTTGCAAATGATACTGATATTGTCAATCAGCAAACATCCCCATTACTGACCATATGATGGAGAAAATGTCATTAATAAAGCAGCTGAAGACGTCTGGAAATAGAACACTCCTCTGAGGAACTCTTACACCATAGGAAGGTATCAGGTTAACAAATATGAAACATTCAACTCCTACAGACAATATTGCTTTTACAATAAAAGCTCAGTATTTTGCTCCAAGATATTACATTTTCAATTTGCATAACTATATAGGATAGTTCTTTACACATTTCAAAATTCTTTCTACTTTTCAAAATTTGTACTTTTAACTACTACACGCTGCAACTTGAGAATGCAGGTAACATTTTCGCTGCAACTTGAACTGAGAAAGCCACAGGTGGGCAATAATAGATTAAAAGAATCATGCAGCATCAAAACAGACCCTTTGGCCCAACTTGTCCATGCCAACCATGTTTCCAGAACCGAACCTGTCCTATTTGCCTGCATGTGACCCATATCCCTCCAAACTTTTCCTATCCATGTACCTGTCCAAATATCTTTTAAATGTAACTGTACTCGCCTCTACCACTTCCTCATTCCATATACACACCACCCTCTGTGTGAGAAAGTTGCCCCTCAGGTCCCTTTCAAACCTTTCCCTTCTGGTTTTGGACTCCCTCACCATGGAGAAAATACATTGTCTATTCACTTTATCTATGCCCCTCATGAATTTATAAACTTCTGTAAGGTCACCCTCGGCCTCCTACGCTCCAGGGGAAAAAAGGTCCCAGCCTATCCAGCCTCTCCGTATAATTCAAACCCTCCAGTCTCAGTAACATCCTTGGAAATCTTTTTTTGCACTCCCTCCAGTTCAATAATTTCCGTCCTATAGCAGGGTGTCCATAATTGTACACATTACTCCAAATGTGGCCTTACCAATGTCTTGTATAGCCGTCACATAATATCCCAACTGCTGCACTCAATGCTCTGACTGATGAAGGCAAACGTGCCAAATGCCTTCTTCATCACCTGTCTACCTGTGCTGCCACTTTCAAAGATCTATACCTACACCCCTTGGTCTCTCTGTTTGACAATATCCCCAGGGCCCTATCATTAACTGTACAAGTTCTGCCCTGGTTCGTTTTACCAAAATGCAACACTTCACATTTATCTAAATTAAACTCCATCTGCCATTCCTCGGCACACTGGCCCAATTGATCAAGATCCCGTTTGTACATAACCTTCTTCACTGTCCACTATACCACCAGTTTTGGTGTCACCCACAAACTTACTAATCATGCCTCCTATATCGTCATCCAAATTGTTTATAGAAATGACGAACAGTGGACCCAGCTCTTGCGCGCCTTGTTTATGTAACTTGCTCTCTTTAACTTCTGTACTAGTCTCAACCTTCTCTCATCTCACTATTGCTTCGGGTCCCACCCCCCTGCCAACTAGTTTAAACCCTCCCGAGTAGCTCTAGCAAATCTCTCACTTTGGATATTGGTCCCCATCCAGTTCAGGTGGAACCCATCCCTCTTGTACAGGTCACTTCTTCCCCAGATGAGATCCCAATGATCCAAAAATCTGAATTCCTGCCCCCTGCACAAGCTCCTCAGCTGCCCTATCTACATATTACTACTTTTTTTTAAAACTTGTTTTAAAGTTCAATCTGACTCTTACTAGGAAATTACCAAAACCAAAACTTCAGAACAGCTCTGAAGAAGGGTCGTTGGACTTGAAATGTCAACCCTGTTTTCTGCTGAGTTTCTCCGGTAATTTCTGTTTTTATTTCAGATTTGCAAGCATCTGCAGTTCTTTATTTCTCTTTTGGTGTTCCTTTAAGCTCCAATAACTTTACTCGCAGTGACAATGCAATCCAGTATTTCTTCTAAGAGTTTCAAAGGTTTGAAAGTGTTCATAACATACCATTAATAGCATAACATTGTACTTATTAACTAAATGTAATTCAAGACATTTTCATATGACTGTTAGCTAAACATTGTGTATCAAGTTGTAATGCAGTTCATGCTTGGGAAGCGAAAAATTGGGTACTAACTCCCCCTTTCCCTTCAAATACATTGTCATTGCTCTCATCCTCGGAAAATCCACTTTTGTCTTTTCTGTCCTTGTCTGAAAAATCATTGCACAAATCTCAAATCTCATTTTCACTTTCAAAGTCATTTAACATGTTGTTGCCCTCCAGATACTTGTTCATCGTTTCCACAATTCCATGTTTGAAGTCCTCCAGTCAAGTATTTGCACAAATCACAGCACTGAAATAGCCCTTAATAAAAGTTATAAGTCATGGAAAATTCATGACATAACTGTAAACGATTCCTCCACATCTTTTTGACATTTACATCCTTTGACACAGTTGACAAGATTATCCTTCCCCAGTGCCTCTACTCTGTATGATGGTCATTTAAGACCAACGTGAAACTGGGATAACTCTGGAAAGTAGGATAATTTGTTTTTCTGGGTATGAGGTCATCATACTTGTAACGAGAAGATGCAAGATAAGAAAAAGGCAAATATCAGTAAATTGGAAATTAAATTACAGCTAGTCTTAAAACCTGAGGTACAGAATACAGAATTCACGTGAAGGGTAATACAAGCAAAGCTTTCCAAGAATATACCAGTTTTGTTTTTGGCAACAGAAAGATAATATAACTCCAAGAGCCCTTGGTGAAGCAACGTGCAAGGGAGATGACTGTTTGTAGCAGAGAGGCAGCCTGTGAACTGAATGTGTTGTTGGTCAGTTGCAAAGGAAATGTGGAAAGCTGTGTCATCAGCACTGCCTTAGCTATCATGCATTATGTGCAGGTATCAGTTTATGGAAGTTTTTAGCCCTTTTTTTTAAACAGAAAGGATTTTCTGAAAAACATGATGAGTTCAAGTAAAAACAGGTCATATGGGCAAACTTAGCAGGTTTTGCAGTACCCATGGAGAGAGAAGCAGAGTTAACGTTTCAAATCCAATATAATGGAGTTCTGAAGAAGGGCCAGATTGGACTTGAAATATTATCTCTGCCTCTCTCTACTCAAATGCCGCCAGACATGCTGAATTTCTCCAGCACTTCTTGTTTTGCTTTCAGATCTCCGGGATCCACAATATTTTATTTTTATGATAGATCTAAGTGCATTTTAAAGTATATTCACAAACCATTCTTTTAAAAAAGGCAGAGGCAAAATATGATTAAAATGCTAATAAGTTAAGCTTAAAAGTTATTTTCTCAAAAGTGTAAATAGTGAGAAATTCATTTCCCTGACTCAGTAATTGTCAAGTACCACACAACCCTTGTATTTGGGATCTGGGAACTCTGGACCCAGGTACTTAGAATCATAGAATCATAGAGTCTATAGCATGGAAACAGGCCATTTGGCCTAACTTGTCCATGCCGCCCAGTTTTCACAATTAAACTATTCTTATTTGGCTGCATTTGGTCCATATCCTTCCATACCTAACCCATCCATGTACCTTTCTAAAAGTTTCTTAAGGGATTTGCTGAGTGTCTCTATGATTCTATATCTTTGTCTATATCTAAATATCAGACTGTGAATTTTGTCAATATTGATGGTGAACTGGCAAGAAGATTGGGCTTGAAATGTTATCTCTGCCTCTCTCTACACAAATGCTGCCAGACCTGCTGAGTTTCTCCAGCACTTCTTGTTTTGCTTTCAAATCTCTGGGATCCACAATATTTTATTTTTATGATAGATTTAAGTACATTTTAAAGTAAAGTGTATTCACAAACCATTCTTCTTGCCAGTTTTTCTGGTGAACTGGCAAAAAAAGAGCGCTCTTAAGAAAGCGAAAAATTTGTATAATTATTGGTGCAAATGAAAGTAAAAATAAAAGTAAATTTCAAAGTAAAATAAAAGTAATTTAAATTTCAGTAGTGGGGAAGTGAAATATAGCTATATATGAAAATTCATCTTCAGCAAAAGACTCCCGGATTGGAGGGTTTAAGTTATATGGAAAGGCTGGATAGACTGGGATTTATTTTCCTTGGCAAATAGGACGTTCTGGGGTGACCTTATGGAGGTTTATAAAATCATGAGACGCATAGATAACGTGAATAGTAAAGGTCTTTCCCTAGGGTGGGAGAGTCCAAAACTAGACGGTGTAGGTTTAAGGTGAGAGGGGAAAATTTAGAAGGAACCTGAAGGGCAACTTGTTCACACAGAGGGTGGTGTGTATTTGGAATAAACTGCCAGATGAAGTGGTAAACGCAGATACAGTTACAATAGTTAAAAGACATTTGACAGGTACATGAACAGGAAAGGTTTAGAGCGATATGGGCAAATGGGACTAGTTCAGTTTAGGAAACTTGGTCAGTATGGATGAGGTGAACCAAAGGGTCTGTTTCCATGCTGTATGACTCTGACCAGTTCTGCCTCTCTACCTCTTTCTCCTCCCTCCTTTAAGATGCCCATTAAAACCTGTCTCTTTGAGGATTCTTTTGGCCACCTGCTCTATTACCTGTTAAATGCACCAGTGTCAAATGTTCTTTGCCTATGTTTCTGTGAAGTCCTTGGGATGTTATACCATGTTAAAGGCACCAAAAAATGCACATTGCTATTTGTTTTAATATCACATGTAATGAAACTATTTGTCCTTACCTTCCATAAAATATGGCCCAAGTTCAATCCGCCACACAATCTGCCCTTTCTGTGTTCCATTTACACCCCGGTTTTTGGAATCCCAAACATTTCCTGGGGAAATCTCATCTGTAGAAGGAGGGAAAAAAAGGCAAAGATGAATCTAGTAATGTAGACTTTATTTGGTTCCATCCAGCACCCAGAAAAATTCGAGGTAAACTAAAATGCGATTGATAAAATACCTATCAGGAAATGAAAAGATGTTATTACACCCCTGTAGAGTAGATGGGACCTGAACCTGGGCCTCTTGGCCCAAAGGTAGGGACACTACTCCTGCACCACAAGAGCCCAGAATTAGTCTAGTGTGGAAGCCAGCAACAGTGAGCAACTAAAGCTGAATTCAGTACAAATGAACCTCGTTAGGGGACACACTTAACCAATTCACCTCCTGACTACCAAAAGCCTATCCACCATCTATGAGGCACAAGTTAGGAGTGTGATGGAATACTCCCCACTTGCCTGGATGAGTGCAGCTCCAACAACATTCAGCAGTGTGTAATATCTACAAGATGCACTGCAGAAATTCACTGAAGATCCTCAAACAGCACCTTCCAAACAATGACCACTTCCATCCAGAAGGACAATGGCAGCAGATACATGGAAAGACCCCACCACCTGTAACTTCCATTCCAAGCTACACACCATCGTGACTTGGAAATGGATCATTATTCCTTCACTGTTTTTGGGTCTATTCAACATCCCACACTTCAACTTTCATTTCTTCCCCTGCCTCCAAGGGCACAATTAGATTCCCCTATCTTGACCTTCCACACCATTAGCCTCAGCATTCACCTGACATTTTCACCAGCTCCAACTTAATGTTAGCAAGAAGCTGGCCAGGGTTAGTGCTGCTTTCTTGAGTCCAGCAGTGCATGAAGAATGTCACCGATCTTCTGCACACTACAAGGGAAATTCTCATCATCATCCCTCCACTACCTCATCCATAAAGGACCACCACTTAGTCCAACTCTGCCATTGCATACATGCCTCACCAAGGCTCAGGGACTGAAAAGACTTTCATTCTTGTATGCAGCATATCCATCCACCTCCCCCGCCCAAACTCCTAACACTTTTCTGCATTTTGCACTTCCTACTCCCTTCTAATACATAATCCCTCTCTTTGCAGGAAAGACTGGCCTGCATCCAGGATGCCTCAGGAGCCCTCTGACTTAACTATGTATGATTTCATATTGATTGCATGCAACCTGCTTGCGCTGAAGACTCTGTGGGTTAATAAATCATTGTGAGTCAGAGAGAGGCTGGCAACTTTCCAGTAAGCACAAAATGCATGAATTGTAAGAAAGCAAGCTAAGATCCAGAAGATGCAACCTGTACACATAGGGAGATGCATGTGTGTCCTTGCATAGAAAGTGACCTGGCAGAAGCGTACAGGTCCCATGTATCCCTCAGTTCCAAAGTGTTGAAGGGCTGACTTGGTGTCTGAGTTAGTTCCGGACCACACATGATAGTTTGCTGATGCCAATTTGCATGAAAGAAGGGTCAATGAGTACGGTGGCCATGGACAATGCAAGGACATTGTTGTGAAGAAGCAGTTGGATGATGGCGGGTGTAAGCATTTAGCGAGCTGCTGACATCAGATACCTGGTCTGATTTACATGTTGGGAATTTGTGCCATGTAGTTTCTTGGTCAAGGAATGGAGAATTTGAAGTGGTGTATAAATAAGATGAGATGGAGCTTTAATGAGATGCAGCTTTAATGAGATGCAAGTGTGTGGAAGTAAGGTCATCACCATTCAATGGCAAGATTGTGAAGCCATCATTAACAGATTGAGGCAAAATTTTCTTGGTGGTGAGAATCTGAGTTTTTCATTCTCACTGCAGTTGCCTGCATCATACTGCACCAGGGAGGGGAAATTTCTGCCCATACTATTCTGCAAAATCAGTGTATCCTAATTTTCACAAAAAACAAAATGAGAAAAATCCAGATCAAACAAAGCATTAATTTCGGAAATCAAAGAAAAAGATTTCAGTAATATACAGTATACAATTGGAAAATCATGCCAGTCAATTTACCTCCACTTTACTATAAAAATGTTGTCCATCCCTACACTGTACACAAGCCCTTTCACACATTCACAATCCTCTACTTTCTGTCCTTGCAGAAGAAAACACATTTCAGGAAGACACAAAGAACCTATCGGTTCTGTTCCCGTAAGAGCCATCTTGACAGTTATTGTTAATGCTTTCCCACATGGGCATTGCAAAGGAGGTCATAATCCATCAGACTTCAGATCCCTGTAATGACTTAGTGTGACAACTTTAGTCTCCTGAGGTACTGGGACCCAAATGTTAAGAAAGCCAATCTTCTGCCTATAGACCTGGTGTTGGAGGATAACACTGCCTACAAACTGGATGTCTTTCTCCATATACTTTGCACAATGGAGCAGCATGTGACTGAGGAAAAGTCAACTGGTGGTGTTGCTACTGATGTTTCTGCTGTCCCTTGTGCTATTGTTGCTCTTGTTTTTCGTGAGATATCAAGGTAGAGATACATAGGTTGCTCCCAATAGGCTACAGTGTAGGGAATGACACAACGGAAGATCAGATCAAGGTTGGTGAGGTCCAAGATAGGTGAAATGGCTTTGAAAAAGTTGGCACTCACCAGTCAACTAGTGAAATGAGCTGCTCACAAAGTGTTTTGTGCACAGCCTTACCCAAATGTAGGCCAACATCAATGTAGTTTCACTGGTTCTGGGTTATAAGTTTCACTAATTATTGGCACACTGCTGTACTCTTGTTAACCCTAGTGATTCCACACAGCCCAAGAAATGCGTGGACGGGGTGTTAAAGTCAGAATTTTGAGTGAATGTCATATTTAATTGCTTGCTTGCATATTTAAATAACTGATCCAACATCTCCACTGGGCTCTTCTGTTCACCTGGGATGTGGGCCAGCAAAATTCGGGCATGGGTGTGATCATGTTGTATTTCTGGCAGATGCTTTCTAATCAACCTATTCAGAGACCCTGGAGAAGGTGGGACTTGAACCCAGGCCTCCTGGCTCATAGGCAGGGACACTACTATTATGCCACAAGTGTCGCTGATGCATTTCTGGCACACTGGCATTTTATGGAGAGTTTCCTGGCTTTCTGTAACTGGGATACATCCAGTCCACAGTAAAGTCTGGATAAATCGCTATTGCAACAAAGTGCACCATGGAACCTTGGGTAAAATTTTCACCCCTATATGGGGATGAGTGCAGATGCAGGTGGGCACAAACACTTGTGCCTGTAACCAGTTTACCAGGACCATCCCACCTCAGATCATTTTCCCAGAAGAAAGAGCCACGTTACGAAGACTAAAGCAGTGGGTAGCCAAGTAATGTAAGTAAATGTTTTAATCAAGGCAAATTTTCAGAGGCTGACAGAAATTTTCCATTTGGGCCCACAGTTAATCGCAGTTTCAGGCAGACACCAGGTGCCTGCTGGCAGCTTCCTGGTGACAGACAGTGGATGGGGGTGTGAGGGTGCAGATGAGCTCTATAGGCAAGTCTTCAGGGCCTCACAGGCAGCTTGCCACAGTTGCAACCACAAACCACACTGTGGAGAGGTAACCAGATGATGGTGGCCCAACAGCGCAGCCATTTTGTTCATTTAAAATTTCAACTGGCCCTCCATCTTCAGGATCTTGCCCACTCGCCAGGGATTATCACTGCCAGTAGATGACGGTTCTCGTGAGGGATCGGGCCCCATTTGACACCAACGTTTAGGGTCCCAACACAAAACCCAACATCCTCTTCCTTACCTCTTTGAAGACTTGATTGTTTAAAACTCAAGAAAGCAATCAATTCCCCTTATTCTCTACATTTCTCTCTACTTTCAGCAGTTAAAAATCCCAATGCTTTCTCCCCACCCAGATATCTAGTGTCATTTGTACTAAATACTTTCATCCAAATACACAAGCTCTTGTGCTACTAACCAAAAATCATCCAAAAATACAACAGTAATTTCCACTTCCCCATTTCTCAGTCTTCTGCGTTAATACATTGGTTGTACATCAAATGCCAATAAAAAGAACTCAATTCTGAATAACGAATGGTTGATTTATTTGATTCATACACATTATTAATTGTTAGCATTTTCCACCTTGAAACAATTAGACCATACATGATGTGTTAGGTTGATAGCAGAGAGCAGGCGAATAGATAAGTATAAGTGACAATGTTTATTTTTCTTCTAGAGTTTAGAGTCGTGACTTCACAGTTGTGATTCACGTTAGTAGCACAAGAGTTTGTCCAGTGGCAAGCTTCTGTTTGAGGAGCCAGGCATACTATCTTTAGACTACAAACCTAAGGTGTTACATTTACCAGAAGTACAATGTAGTACTTACAACACCTGATAATGACTGACGTGCCAGGATTCCATCTCAACTCATGCACAACCCTGGTTAAAAACACGGTAGTAGCTATCATGCTGTGTGGTTTAATTCACTGAACACCAAGCTGGAATTTATCGTAAAATCTCAATCGACCTCAAATTTCACTATCTTCTGGAATGTTTTAAAGGATCTACTATAACAACAACTTGTATCAGAATTTCAAAATCTTGCATCTTTATCAGATGATGAGAAGTCTTAAAAAGTTGAAAAATGGACACTCGGAAATTTAATTTCTAACTAATTTTCAAAGGACTGAAGTTCAATCAGTTAAGACACAATAGTTAAGACACAACGGAAAAAATTTTACTCTAACAAATTGGCTGCTCGCATTCCTAAACAACCCCGTTTCCTCACGCGACTCTCACTACACATCTCTTTATTGATCATTTTCTTTCATAGAGATGTTGGTTTCATTCAAGAAGGTGCATTGCAACAAACAGTTCAGCGTTCACACAGAGAAAACTCACTTACCATTATGCATTATTTGCTGCGCGCAACTCCTCTAAGTAAATCACTTTTAACAGGCAACATCAAGCCACTTGCGACAAAGGAACAACAAGTGCCAGAATGCAGATGGATATAATGATCAAACAACAGGAGCCGCATTTAAATCTCCTCATTATCCAACCCAGCACTGCTTCATTTTCCAACTGTGCTATTCACCAAGCTGGA